GTTGCACCCTAGTTTCTGTGTCTCTAACGATGCACAGACATTCTCATCTTCATCACATCAGAGAAACAGCTCATCAAATCAACTGCAATGCTTTATCCCAACTGATACAATCAGCAACACGTTAAAATCAAGCACAACTTGGACACTGACCACCTGTGGTAGTCACTAGTCTATCACCCTTAAATCATTTGAATTAAATTGAAATCAAGAAGCAGTCCAGAACATGTCTGCAGTGAACAAAATTTCAATATAGTGTATTTACCATTTAATGGCTTAGACAGAGCGAGGATACAAGACCCCTGGTCTCAGTTAGCTGATGGCTGAACCCCACGACGCTGACTGACCTCCGGCTGCAAGGCCCAGATTGAGTTCCCCAACCTTGTGAATGGTTGAACTCCACAATGTTCTATTAGAGGTTTCCCATGCCCTTTCTTTAAAGATGTTCAAAGTTGGGCATTCAGAAAAATACCCTTGATGACCACCTCTGCCTCTGCAGAGTGGGTCCAAAGACTGGCACAGTCAGGAGGTCTGAGAGTGCGGGCGGGGGGGCTTATGGAGGTTCAGGGGCGCCTGTGCGGCTACCTTCCTGGCACTTGAGCGATGGTGGCTGGGGCAGGAGAAGGCGTCACCCTTTTTATTTTTGAAACAGAGTCACTAAGTTGCCCCGACTGGCCTCAAACTGGTGATTCTCCTGCCTCACTGAGTAGTTGGGACTATAGGAATGCAACCAGTGTAATTTAGTTTTCAATATCTATAAAATATTTGCAGGGTTCAAGGTACAAAGGGATATATACAAGAAGTGCTCAAAATATAGAGTGTTTAAATTTAAAAAATATTTATTAAAGTAAAATTCCCATTGCCATTCATATGCCTTAAAATACTCCCCCTCACTCTGAACACACTTAGTCTGTTATTTCTGCCACAGTCTGAAGCAGTTCTGGAAGTTCTCTTTCATGAGGGTCTTTACAAGGTGTGATAAAAAAAATAGGGTGAACGCTGCTGCTGAGTGCTGTCTGAGAAAAGGCAGCCTTGTGAAAACATTACAGTGAGTCCTCATCCATCTCATTCACCAGATCTGACACTGCAACTTCTGGCTCTTCCCCAAAGCCAAAATGACCAAGAAAGATAAATGTTCTGAATCAATTCAGGACACTGAGGCAGCCACAACAGCACAACTGTAGCACTCTCGAAAGAGGACTTCTAGACTTGCTTCCATAAGTGGGGAGAATAATGGGGTAGGTATGTTTGAAGCAAGAGAGGTTAATGGCAGTGTCTTTTACCATAATGCGTTTTTAAAATGTAAACATTCACCGTATGTTTGAATCACATCTCATATGTGTGTGTGTGTGTGTGTGTGTGTGTGTGAACAAGAGAGAAAGAGAATGTGTATGTATGTGTATTACATGTAAAAAGTCATCCTCCCACCCCTGATCCCTGGACACCCAGCTCTGCCCCAGGAGTTTCTGCATCTCAGAGAGGACACCTGCCTATCCAGCCAAAGCTTCTCTCTCCTGCAGTGCTGGCTCCAGTCACACTGCTGTGCAGGACACAGGCTCTCTGGTGCTTGGTAGCGATCATACTACCTCAAGCTCCCTTGGCATTCCGTGCTCTTCACAGCCACTCTGTTCTGGACAGTCACAGTGACTCTGAGATGAGACAAGGAGCCCCATTCCATGGATGAAGACCCAGAGAGATGAAAGGCTTACGCAAGATCACACAGTGGCCGAGAAGCGGGCCAAGAGCCCAGGGCTTCCTCTGCTCCCCAGCACTCTATGCAGGCTGCCCAGACTCAGAGCAGTTAGGAAATTTATTCACAGGAGCCTGGCTTCCAGGCAGCAGAGCCAGGATTTTAATGTAGATACATCTCTCAGGCTCAGAAGGTCACACACATCAGGCTGCTTCCCAATTCTTACAAAAAAGTTAGTGGAACTCTAGTATATATGCCTTCTTCTTCTTTTCAATATGAAGACAGAGACTCTTAGTGCTTAAGGTCTCCTGGACCAATCGCTGTATTTTCTGAAAGAAAACTGAAGCCCAGAGACAGGGCATGGCTTGGCCAAGGTCACATGGCTTGGATGGATGAAAACCAGACACTCAGCCTTCCACCTGATATATTTTTCAGCTGACTTTGCTGACCGCAGTGTAGTAGGCAGAAGCTTAACTTGCACTAATTGAATTCTAAAACACCAAATGGTTTTGATTTTTCTAGAGCAATAAATACCTATTAGAAGTAAAAATTAAAAAAAAATTGCCGACAGAATCACTTCGCTTCATAACTAACATGTGGAAGATCCCTGCCCATTTCTGTCTTCATTCATTAGGAAACAAATCAGGTAATTACTGTTATAAAACCACAAACCACCCCTGCAGTCATGATTGGGAAAAGATTCTCCTGAAAACAACTTATAGTTATACAATAACTACATACACAACACTAACCAATAACTGAATAAGAAGGAATAAAAGTGAAAGGTGGTTAATTACATCGTGACAATCAGGAAGAATTCAAGATGTCCCATGATGTCCTCTAATATTCTCCATAAGCAACAGATAACTGGGACCCTGTGATAGCTGTGTGTTGCCCATACCTCACTGATCTTGTGTGACACTGATGTCCCCACGGAGGCTTGGTTGGACATGGGGTAGTTTCACAGAGGTGGATCTGTGTGTGGTGCTATCAAATTGTGCATGTTGAATGCCTCGCCTTGCACGTCTAGTTTTAACTTCAAACTTACTGTACGTAAAACCACACCCTTTCTATGCCTGCCGACTGCTCCGTAGAACAATGACCCTTCTTGGCTGTATTCAGGCTCCAGTCAACTCTCTGCCCTGTCTCCCTTCATTCTCCAAGTCCAGGCAACCACCCAGACCCCCATTTCCTTCTAAACATCTTTCGTCTCTTTCTTCATACTGTTCTTCTGCTCATGAAGTTAGACTGAAAATCCCTTAAGCTTCTCTGACCCTTTGGTTTATAAAGTGCTTTACTCATACTAGTTCATCTAATTACAATAATCACCATCTTTTTTACAAACCAGATAACTGAGGCTTGGAGAAGTTGAGAGACTTGTTCTGGACTTTGATTCTAAATTGACAGGCTTTCCATGGCCACTGTCTGGTGAGCTTTGGGCCCAGTGACTGTTTATCCTCACCACAGTCCTGTACTTCCCTGTGTCCATGGCCTTGATGACTTGGAGCTTGTCTTTCAGGACCGAGGTTAGCCCTCTGTGAAGGTCTCCAAAGCCCTAAATGGCTGCTGGTTCTCTAGGAAGCTCTGCCTTGCTTATGAGTTCTTTCTTCCCTGAGAGCAGAAGTTCCATAAGAGCCACGCTGGGACCTCGTGGCCTTTGGATTCCCCAAGCACTCCTCGTACAAGCAGGTCCTCAGCACATACCCCTGGGTGGGTGGGTTGTCCCATGACCCCTGGAGACAAAGGCTCAGGTGACCTTGAAAATGGAGCTAACCCCATAGGCTAGAGGGTGCTGGATGGTCAGAGTTTGTGAGACTTTCCCAAAGTCACTGCAAGCCAGGCCCAGTGGCCAGAATCGGCACCAAGCTGCTGTGGATTGTGGGGTCACAGACTGTCATGGCTCCCCATGAGGTCTCTCTCGGCCCTCTGAGGTGGATTTCTTGGGGGGAATTCTGAGAACTGTGGATCAGGCCAGCCTCCCAGTCATGTCTCAGCTGTTGGACTAAACACCGCCATAGCTAGTTTTTAGTATTTTCCCTCTGAGCACTGTTTTCCTTCTTCAAGGCTGTTTTCCTTGGGTGTCTGGTCACATGGCCTGCCTCCCTCAGCTGCTCTGAGTTCTTTGGGCGCTCATGCCCCCACCTCAGAGATGAGCACACAAACCAGCTCAGTCTGACCGGTATGGCCCACATGGGCCCCACCCAGGGCTTCTGGGATCCCAGGGCACCCTGATGAGGAAGCAAGCTCATAGGCTTGTGGGCTGTTCAGTCGTCACAAAGACACCGAAACCACAGCTTGCCCTTTGGCTGATCTGGGTCACACAGTCAGTCCCTGCACTGCTGGCATTTTGGACTAGTTCATTCTCATGAGAGCACACTGGGCACAGCAACATGTTCACAGCATCCCTGCCCTTGGCCCACCTTGTGCCTGTGCGGAATATCTGTGGCCTGGGTGGCACAATCACTCCCAGTTGGGAACCACTGGCCTAAAACTTTCCTGGCCCATGAATAAATGTTGACTCTTAGGGTGAAGAGTTTTAAGTTCTAAATTTTTAGACACAGTCCAAGGAAAATCCTTTAGATGCTTTTCTGTTTTGCTGTTTGAACCCCCCAGGTTTTCGACTGTCAATGCCCTGCACTTGATCTAATCACTCCCACCCAATCACCAAGCTTCTTCCCTTCCTCCAAGCCTCTCCTCCTGAGCTGGAGGTGCCCTGGAAATCTCACTGAGGTCTACTTAGAGTCTTACTTTGGAACCAGCAGGTTGACTATTGATTGCCTAGCTGTGGACTAAGCTTCTGGATTCCAGGAGACATGGAAGAGACTGTTCAAATAATTATAGACTAATATCCAGGAAGCACAGGTTCTAGGAGGAACCTTGTGGCCACAGTGGACTCCTTGATCTCACAGACCAAAATATTCCCACCTTATTGATGGCATTATCGTACATCAAGCAGCCATTGTACTGCCATCTGTCAGCAATCTCCAATCCTTCCATGGACCCTCCGTGGACTTGCACTAGATCCACCTGGCCTCCATTCACCTTGTACAAAGGCCCTGAGGAAGGAGGCTGTTTGGCATATTTGAGCAGCATCTAGGAGTCCACTGAGGCTGGAGTGGGTTGTGGGCGGAGCGGGGCTGAGGCGTCAGCTGTGCTCCTTCCACTGTGACAGAGGCTGGTGTGTGCCTGTAGAGAGACAGCTGACTCAGAGGTCCGAGCTCTACTGGAAGCCCAGAGTGCCCGGTGGGCAGAGCCTTTCTCCCCTGACCTGGTCGAGTGACCACTTACGGCACATGTGTGTGTTTGTGTGCAGGAGTCTGAGCGGCTGGAGCTCATGAATGCCGAGCTGAAGACCCAGATCGAGGAGCTGAAGCAGGAGCGGCAGCAGCTCATCCTGATGCTGAACCGCCACCGCCCCACCTGCATTGTCCGCACCGACAGCGTTAAAACGCCGGAGTCTGAAGGCAACCCACTGCTGGAGCAGCTGGAGAAGAAGTGACCCTGGGCTGGGAGGAGACTGAGGAGGAGAGACGGAGGGGAGGAGGACAGGCTCCCGGAGGGCCCTTCCTTGGTACATGAAAAACTACACAATGAGGCTCAGCACAGCTGGCACCCACCGGGCTTTTTTGTGAAACTCAGATCAGCCACACAATGGAAAGAGCAGGCTGAAGAAACCCAGAGGGACCAAGTGCCGAGACCAAAGTTGACCCGTGGGTAGAGCTATCCTGCCTGGGCCCCGGCTTGAAGGAGGCAGGAGCAGAGAGAGGCAGCCTGGGGTTCCTCCAGCCTCTCTCCCAGGGCACTCACCCAAGGGACCACCAAGCAGCCAGGAAAAGCCATGAGTTGCAACCAAAATTCGGCTGAGGATGGATCTCAGCATGAACTGCAATCCTCCTGCCCCCAGTCCTGCCCCAACCGGATGCAAAGCTGGACAGGGGGCTGCTGCAGGGCCCTGATACCCCTGCCAGGGAAGTGGCAGTGGGACGCACCCTCGCCAGCCCTGCTGGAGTTTGCTGTGGGCACTGAGGCGCGGGCGCCCTTCCAAAGCACACACTCACTGAATGTTTACAGGCTGGCTGTCTTGGCAGGGCTTTCAACTGCACATGTTTTTTATACTTTTTTTTTTAATATTTTTTACAAAAAAAAAGATTTTATACAAGCAATATATATATGGATTTCTATAATCACTTGATGTGATACAGTATAAATATGCTATGGTTTGTTACGGACAGATATTCACCAGTTATGGCCGTTGCGTTAACTCCTAAGTACCGTAGTCTCTGGGTGTCAGGGGTAGCCGGGCCGGGCGGGGTGCATTTCCGCCCTTGTAAACCCTTCCTAGTACTCAGTCCTGTATCTCTCAGTAAACGTTGCTCTTATTACCCAGCTGCCTCGAGTGCTGTCTGCCTGGGGAGGGGGTCCCGCGAGACACCATCAGCCATAGCCACGTCATTTCCACAGTCACCCTTCTGGGTACGTATGGGCAGGCCCATCTCCCAGGTGAAGAAGGTGAGGCTCAGAGAAATCAAAGTGGACCGGTTAGCAGTGTCCTATTTCCCTGGCATGTCAGGGAGCAGCAGTGGCCCCCTTTCACAGGTGAAAAATTGGAACAAGCCTTGGAGATTAAGCTTGCGGTTGCCATTTTTGGAAGCCTTACCCTGTGACAAACACATATAGTCTCATTTACTTCTCCCAACAGCACAAAGTAGGCATTATTCTCAGTTTTACAGCTGAGGCTCAGAGAGGGCAAATGACTTACCCAAGGTCACCCCACTGGCAAGGAACAGGCTGGTACTGAAACTGCCTCTAGATACCGGCTGTGAGCGTCCCCGTGGTTTAATGTCTCACCCGATCAGAACAGGGAGCTTAGTAGACGAGACCATACTTCCATACTTAGAGATGTAATTTCTGGGAAGGCTGGTTAGAGTTCCACGCTGCCCCGGGATGATATCCCGCTGGGTCTGAGCCTGGCGCAGAGGCATTTCCTCCTCCGTGGCCTCACACCTGCCCTGCGGAACAGGGATGGCCCAGGGCCGCTCACACGGCAGCTGCCGTTTATTTGGTGCTCAACAGCAGTTCACGAGGCTCTGCCACATGGGCTTCCCCATTTGCTTTTGCAGTGTCGTGAGGCAGGCAGGAGAGGAGGTTTTAGTGCACTTGTCACCAACGCTTACAAACTGAAGCCTACAAAAATTAAAGTTCACTTGGCTGAAAAGAGGCGGAACTGAGTGGACTCAATGTCCCCCACCCCCATCCCATCCCTCATAGTTTTTTGTTTGTTTGTTTGTTTGTTTTTTTGCGGTACTGGGAATTGAACCCAAGGCCTTCACACTAACCTACATCTCCAACCCTTTTCAAATTTATTTATTTTGAGACAGAGTCTCACTAAGTTGCCCAGGCTGAGCTTGAACTTGCAATCCTCCTGGCTCAGCCTCTCCAAGTGCTGGGATTACAAGTATATACCGCCGTATCCAAAAGCCTACCTTCTAATCCTATGCTTTTTCTCTCATCACTGGAGGTAGCTAACTAGTTGCTAGTTGATGAGGCTTTGTGTTAAGAGCAGGAAACCTTGAGTTACTTCCACAGTTGTGACAGAGGCCTGCTGGGCTGGACAGAAATGGGAAATAGGTCACAGATCCACACTTGGTCTCATTTCCTCACCTCAAGTTCCTGCCCCACAGTGTGCATGGCATCCTATCCCGAGCCCTGCCTTGGAGACAGCCTTGTCAGCTCACGCTGGCTGCGAACCTTCTGCACTGTGGAGCCTGGGGAAAGGGGAGCTGTGAATTCCTGGGGCCTTCGGGTGTCCTGGTGGATGCTCCTGTAGGACTGCCAATAACAGACACCTGGCTACGGCTCGTCTGGTTCCCTTTTGGGTGCTGAGAGTCCTGCCTCTCTAGAACACAGTGTTTCTTGGGCTGTGCAGATGGGTTGTCTCCAGGAATCAGTGATTAGCCCTTGGTCATGCCTGCTATGGAATCTGCCAACTCCCCTGGGGCCACCACCCTTCCTGTGGGCAGCTGGAAGCCACAGTCCCAGCCTTCATCATAAGCCCAGTGTTCGATCAAGTGTTTTCTTTGAGCCTGTATATATGCATCGCTTCAGCTGAGTCACACAAGTTGGCTGTGGGTCTGCAGTGTCATCCCACGTTCACATGAGGAAACTCGGGCCCAGAGAGGAAGACCTGATCGGTAGCAGTGCCAAGATTACAGCTTGACTCAGGTGTATAAAAGCTCAGGCTGAGCCTCACCAGGAAAGGAAATGCTGAGTTTGTGTTGTGACTGCTGTTGCCAGGGGAGCTTGGCAGGAGGCCCTGAGATGGCAAAGGCCTCACAGTCCACAGTGAGGATCCCCAGCTCTTGGATGCCCTTCTCCAACTGCTTGTGCAGAAGATTCAAGATCCAGTCTTCTGCTGCTTAGTCCTGAGCCCTACGTTTCTCATCTGTCAAGGGAGAAGCATAGCAACCCAAGTCTTTCTTATAGGAGTGTTGTCAGGATCAAAGAAGGAATCGATGTAAATGTTTTATGAAATATAAAGTTCCAAGCTGGGCACAGGGGCACATGCCTGTAACTCCAGCATTCTGGATGGCTGAGGCAGGAGGATTACAAGTTCCAGCCAGCCTCGGCAATTTAGCAACTTACTGGGACTCTTTACCGTACCAATTACTTGAATATCTCTTATTCTCTAGGGGGTGCTATGGTGTTTGTGTTCTGACTGCATGTCCAGTCCCCGTGGTGTGTTGAATGCCTGGGGTCTAAGAATCCTGGCTTTTTTTTCTGCTCCTTGATGGCCACAACCAGCTGTGCTAGGCTCATCATCTCTGCCCTGGGCCTCAGGGCCTCGTGCCAGGTGGTCATAAGTAAGACCTGTGCCACCTTTCATCTGGGTTCAGATGAGAATCAATGAGCCAATGTGCCACCATGGCCTGAGAAGGTCAAAATTCTTTAGCTAACAGATGAGCAAACGTGTTCAGGATTCAAATTAGAGGAAACTTACATGTGCTGCCTTTGGGAAATCAGGGTGACTGCTCTTGTAAAGCAATTGAGCAATAACAAGGACTGCCAAATCTAAATATATCCTGCGCCATAGCAAGTTGTCTCCTGAATACATACTTGGGAAGAATTCTAACAGAAATGTACAAGAATCATTCGTGGTTTGTTTGCATTAAAGAAAAATTGGAAGCAACATGAATGCCTACAGACTGTAAGAATGGACAAGCAAATTGCAGTGTTTTCATAAAATGGAATAGCATTCAGTTAGAAAAAGGAAACAAGGTACAGGTATCAATGAGGATTCATCTCAGAAAACTAATGTGGAGCTCGGGGGTAGGGAGGGAAGTGTACAAGGGTGGTATTTGGCTAGCATTTCTGAATGTGTGAAATGGTACTTTAAGGCTTAGGGGTACACAGATCTGGGCAATAGAGGTTACAACCAGGCACAGGAATGCTATAAATACCAAAATCAGGATTGCTCCCACCAGAGAGTGTGGACTGGGAAGTCATCCTCGGATAAATAGGACACTGGGTTTCAACTCTATGTGCAACATTTCATTTATTTTTAAAGCTCGTCATCAAATGTAGAATAACACTAGATTTTGTCAGAGGTGGGCTATGTGGGTGGGGATATGGGTCATATTCCCTTCCATGCTCCCCTGTATGTTCAGTATGTTTTCCAATAAAGGAAAGCAAGTCACAATACAAATAGAAGGTTTTGGATTTTATTTTTCTTTCCGTCCTTAACAAACTCAGAAAATAAAAACCAATCCGAATTGCAATGGATTGCAGCATATGCTCTCTGAATTTATGCAAATTTAATTGTATGCCTAGAGGGAGAGAGAAACAATTCAAAGCAATGTGAGGAGTTTAGCTGGCTGGGCCCCTGGGCAGGGTGCCCTGGAGGCTGGAGGGAGGGCACCTTGAGGAGTGTTGATCTGCTCTGATTCAGTGGCTGCTGGTCCCTGAGCTCTGCATAGCAGGCAATTAAGGCATGTTCAAGGTTAATTCAGACCCTAGAGTTTCTCCTTAGCTGCTGACTTTTCAACTCAACCCCTGTGTGAGTTGCAGCTCCACCATACCACAGTGGTACTGTGGTCTAGAATCTAAAGCACAGGGGAAGCCTGTTGCAGATATGAACCCAGTTGTCATTGGTGTGTTTGTTTCCTGTTGCTGCTGGGACAAATCACCATAGACTTTAATGGCTTAAAACAGTACAGATTTGATTATCTTACAGCTTACAGGAGGTCAGAAGGCTGCAGTGGGTGGCGTGGATCTTAAGTCAAGGTATTGACAGAACTGTATTCCTTTGGAGGCTGTAGGGGAGACTCTATTACTTTGCCTTTTCCATCTTCTGGGGCTGAACTCTGACACTGGCTCTTCTGCCTTTCTCTTCAATCTGTTAAGGAGCCTCATGATAACATTGGGCTCACCCAGAAAATCTAGGGCAGTCTCTTTAAGACTGACCAACAAACTTAATCTCTCTGCAGCCTTATTCTCCCTGGCCAGCTGTCAAATTCACAGGTTCCAGAGATTAGAACAAGGGTATCTTTGGGTGGCCATTATGTGGCCAGTTAAAAGTTAGAGGTTCTAGGGCTAGGGATTTAGTCCAGTGGTTCCACCGCCTGCCTCAAAATAGCAAAGTCCCAAGTTTGATCCCCGGTACCAAAAACAAACAAACAAAAGTTAGAGGTTCTAGTCAGGTGTGGTGGTGCACAGCTATGATCCTAGCACTGAGAGGCTGAGTGAGATAGGAGAATTGAAAGTTTAAGTCTACACTGAGCAACTTAGCAAATTAGTGAGAACCTATCTCAAAATAAAAAATAATGTAGCTCAGCATGAAAGCCCCGGCTTCAATCTTCAGTACTGACTGATAAATATATGTATGTATATGTATGTTAGAGGTTCTTAACACTGACCCTTCCCACTAGCTGGTAAGATAGGCAACTCCCAGTGTCAGTGCTGTGAAGGTAGATGTCCTGCATGGAACATTCCCAGGGCTGGCACAATGCCTGGCGCATGGTAGATAGTTGACACACCGTAACACAGACACATATGCAAACACAGATAGGTGAAACAACACAAACAGAATTATAAGCACAATACTCAGATACGTGTGCGTGTTGCACAGTTACACATTTATTCACAAATATATTAAAGTAGTGAGATTAATGCTTTTATGTTACAGTTCTAAAATTTTGAAATGAGTTTATTTACCATATTGGCATATCTCGGTTCTTTGGGAATATCTAAATTATGGTTAACAAGGATGCTAACTAAGCTGGATGTACTGTTTTGGCTTAAAGTTACTATTTTTAGAAATACCTTTTCTTTTTGTCTCCAAAACTAGTTTTGTGAGTGATCCCTAAAGAAACAACCCCAATGCTTTGTACCATTGGCAGCAAAACTGCACCTAAGCTCACCTGTAGAGGACATGTGTGGGGCTCCACTGGTGACCCCCTGGCTCCAGCTCTGTCATGTGACCATCGACAGGCAGAAGCCCCTTCACACAGGCACAGCCATGCCTTTCTCTCCCACTTCCCACCTTGTGGGGCATCCACGGCCACTTCTTGGCACCTGTGTGCAACCTGGAAATTTAAGCATTAATGGCTCCAGGGCCTTCTGTGACGAACTGGGATGGAGGTAGACTTTACTGTCCTTTACTAGAGGAGATCCGCCTCCCCTTGCCTGGAGACCTACAAAGATTGCAGTTGAAACAGTGCAACCTGCCTCATGATGTTTATCCTCAAGAGCCACACCTGCTACACTCAGCTGGATCACATGTCCATACAACCTCATTTGGAGAAATAGATTTCCTGCTCCAGAATAACTTACTTGAAGGAAAAATAGTCTGGCATAGATTAGAAGAATCAGGAAAAGATGTACAGGTATGGCTAGATCTGGAAGGTGGGATGCCAAAGTCTAGAAAAAAGGAGAGTTGTTTTATGTGGGAGCACTTGGCTGTGAGTCAAGGCTCGACTGTGGCATTGACCAATTAATTAATATACTGTTAGTTTTGTTTCTCAAAGCTTACATATGGTATTAACCTCAAATAAATGAGGTGCAGATTCTAGAACTGCCTTGTCAGAAAGTAGGGCATCAAAGTAGGTTAAACATACTCATACCATACTTTTCTAATGTAAATCTAGCATTATAGTAGCTGGCTATCCAATCTCAGTAGCTGTGCCTGGGAGATACAGGAAGCAATCTTTGTATTTACCCACTTGGTTCAACTAACAGTAAGGCGTGTGCCCATGTACAAAACTGTCAAACAGATTTTTACCTATG